ATGTGACAGAGTATGTTGTATGCTATTATATGATGTGATATCTATGTGATTTTGTGCTATGTATGATTCAGAGTTTACAGAGTTAGGACCGGAAGGTCCACAGAGTTATGGGGCTGGAGGGTCCCACTGAGACACTTTGACCAGATGGTCATACAGAGTTATAGCCTCGAGTGGCTAATATGTGTTGTATGTGGTATTTTGGAAAACTCACTAAGCATTTATGCTTACAGTGTTTTGTGTTATGTGTTTCAGGTACCAGTGAGGATCGCGGGAAGGCGTCGGCATGATCAGGACACACTTATGGAGTTTTTATGTATTGTGATCTTGGGATGAATTTTATGGATTTGATATGTGATACATGGAGATTGATAATATTTATGAATTAAATTATAATTTTTTAAAGGTGAAAAATTGTTTTGGAATTTACGATGTTACACAACTTAGGTACATAATTTACCCTTTTAGCCCCAGCCATCCAAAATCTTTTCAATTTAAGTCTGATATTTACTCTTTAACCCCTGCTTCCATAAATTCTTTTAGATTAAGTCCAAATGATATCAAATAGCCCCTCCTCTACAAAACGTTTTCAAAATAAGTCCCGAAATTACACTTTAACCCCCGAAACTAACATCCTGCTAATTATTATTTGATTTTGGGATATAATAATATAAAATAATAAAAAAAATTACTTCTCGGTTTTCCAGATTTATTATTTAATTATTATATTTTAAACGGAATGTTACATCTTCGATCAACCTTCATCCACCAACCACTATCTCAGACAATTTTTCACGTTTCATCTCCAACAACTACAAACTTTTATCCTAAAATCAAATTGAAATTCAACACCAAACCACACCAAACCAAAATCAAAAACAAATCTGCAACCTGCAACCAATATCAAAACCTACAAATCTTTTCAAGTACAAAAAGCGACCCCTTTGAGATCCAAAAATCGGAAATGGTTCTAAAAATCAATTCCCACGTTGAGAAGGCGTCGATGGGTTAAAGTGGGAGGAGAGAGGTGGTGGTGGAGATTGTCGACAGTGGAAGGCGAGTGTAAATGCACCGATAATGTTGGAGGGTTTTTCGATCAAGGTTGTTGATGACAACCAGGTTTCTTGTAATTTAGGGATGGGCTAGAGGTCTGAACGCGGAAGGGAAAAGGAGTAGGGTGTGGTTTTTTTGTTTTAATTTTAAAATTATTAAATATAGATAATAAAAAATGAAAAAATAAATTAAAAGGACATAATAATCTTTTTAAATTGATAGGGACCAAAACCAATAAAAATATTCAATTTTGGACCCTTGTCCCACTCTTTTTTTTCGACAAGAACAATGTAATTTTGCCAACCACAAGGATATTTTTGTAATTTTATCTAAAATTAACTATAAAAAATGAAAATATATAAAAGTTTTTTTTTTATATATGTGATAAACCAACCATGATGTAACTTGAAAATCACAACTGTCTATGAAATTTTTTTAAATTACAAACTATATTCAAGATTATGGAAAACTACATGGAACATATGGACCATTTATGAAGTTTTATCTGGTTTAAATTTGGTTTTTTTTTTTTCATTTTGTTTTTGAAGATTAGTATATATATGATTTAGCTTCGTTTTGAAAAGATTCTTTGTTTTTTACAAGGACGAAAAATCTTTATGAATAAATATATAAAATATTCATTAACATCACCATAAAAATGCATTGTTTTCTATTTATAACCCCTAATAAATGCCTTTTTGCTTTCACTTGGTACAAAATATAATCATTTCTCTCGATCGCATGCCAATTTCCTTATTGTATAAGCAACAAGACAAGACAATAGTAGTAACAAACCAATANNNATATATATATATATATATATATATATATATATATATATATATATATATATATATATATATACATGCAAATGGAAAGATTACAACATAAATGGTATGTATTTATCTTTAATTTTTGGTAAAACTAAAAATTGACCCAAGTTGAAGAAGACAAAAGAAACAAAGTAACAAACATACCTTTAAGCTAAAAAACATCCCATCCCATCCCATCACATGATTAATAAATTCATGATTTTGCAATTATCTTATTTTAAACTCGTAATATTATAATAATAATAATAATAATAGAATAGAATCCTGGTATGGCCTACACCTTTCTTTCTTTCTACTTTTTTTTTCTCATAATAATTTTACCAAATACACAACGCAACACAACAAAATACATGTTCCCTTTTCTTTCTTTCTTAATTTGCTTCGATTAAAAAGGTAAAAAGTGACTAAAAACCCAAAACCCAACTAAGCACACCCTCTCGGTGTAAAACCGACACGGGAACCCGCCAAATCATAAACCACCCGGAATCCTTGTTGCTGGATGTTTCCGATGATCGACAACCCACTCGACGTTCCTGCAAAAGCGAAACAGAAGTTCCCACTGCTGTCCACCGGAATCAAGTAATTTGACGCCGGCAACGACACGTCAGCACCTGTGAAATGCATCACCACCGTTGGCACCTTCACCTCTGTCTTCCCCGAAAGATCAAAACAAGCATCGAAAAGCGAAAAATTTGGGCCTCTCTTCAAGTGAGATGCTCCCGACAAGAATGCATTTCGCAGCGCAACGTACGCCGGTCGGGTCAGACGGGTTACTGAGGTGCCTGAGTCGATGATTACACCGCCGTTGCCGGAGTTGTCTAGCTCGAAGAGTGAGCTCGAAATTCCGGGAACTCGAACGCCTCCCACGGAGACTCCTGTGAGTCCCACGTAGTAAAAGGTGTCGAGTTTTGGGTTGTTGAGTAGAGGAGTGAAACGGGCCACCCGTGAAACGGCGGCGTTTCCGAAGACTAAAGAGGAAGGTTTTGCCGACATGGACCGATCGACGAGGCAATAAGAAAACTTTGACCCGAATTGACGACCCGCTTGATTAGGGAAAGATAACTTGCCCCGACCCAGACCCAATAAACCGGCGGCACCGACGAACAACCCTTCGTTGTCGTGGCCGCATCCAAAAGCTATGTTGTTCACTTTGGTTTTCCGGAAGGTGAGGGTTTCGGTGGAGAACTCGCCGACGGTGAACGAACCGTCGCCGTAGGACACTTGGTACATACATTTCTTCCGCTGGTTGCATCCCGGCGAATCGAGGTGGTTACAGAGAGGGGTTCCACAAGCGACGCCACCAAATGTCTTCGATTTAGACGGATCAAAAATGGGATCGGATTGTGTGTAACATCTCCGGCAAGGAGCGCACTGGATCCAAACGATGTCGCTCCCGGTGTCCAACACCATGTAAGCGTACCTCGGCGGAGTTCCTATTCCGATGCGGGTGAAATACTCACCGGAACCCTGTGCAAGACCGGAGATCACCGAGCTACTGAAATCCGCCTTGCTCCGGCCTGGTCGGGTGGCGTTTGCGTGTCCCTTGACGGCAGCAAGGGAAGTGATGGTTTTGACTCTAATTGAGTCACGGAGGAGACGGTGTTTGAAGAGGCTCTCGGCGGTTGCATTGGTGGTGACGGCAAGAGTGTCTAGATGGTGTAAATCTAGAGAGATTGTGTTTTCATTTTCGTTTTCGATGTTGGATGAGGTTAGGGTTTGGGAATCTGATGAATCAGTGAAAGGGGATTTGTTGGGTTGAGGGAGAGAGTGAGGGGTGAGGGTTTGGTAACTGAGAGAGTTGGCGGAGACTGATAGCAGCAGTAGAAGTAGGGTGGAAAGGAGGCCGGAAGATATTATTCCGACGGCCATTGTGGGTGGTGAAAAGGAAGGAAATGAGAGGCGGAAGAGAGAGGTGGTGGTCGAATAAATAATGGAGGAGAAGAACACCAGTGCGGTGTGTCAGTGTGTGAACGTGGGTTTTTTTTCTTGGGGGCTCTTTTGTTTTTCTTTTTTCATATTTTTGTTTTTATAAAAATATCTTTTTAGCATAGACAAAATAATGTAGATGATAAAGTTAACATTCATTTTATATTCGGTATATTCATAAAAATATACAAAGTCTAAAATACATCTTTTTTTTTTTTTTTTTTTTTACCGTATCTATTAATAAATAGCATCATATATTTTGTTCTTGCTTGTTATGTTCCATGAGGATTAAAATAAAAGGTTACTCCTTTAGCCGTAAGTCTTTGAATCGTCTTTTCGGATAATTATTACGAGTTCGAATCTCGACAATTCGAAGTTCTACTTATTTATGGAGTGTTTGGTACATGGAAATAAAATCATTGAAAATAAGAAATTGATTATTTTCTTTTGCTTGGTTAATACAAAAAATAAGGAATTGAAAAATAAATCAATTCAGTTTCCATCAAAACAATTCCCTTTAAAAAATAGAGAAAATAGAAGAAAAGAAAAGACAAGCCTAGGTCGAGTATCAAAAAAAAAGCGGAGAATAATCTCTTCCATGCGAACCCTCCTACGTACATGCAAGTGGATTTTTTTTTTCAAAGATTTCATTCAATCGACCATTGTTCATCTTCTCATTTGCCCTACTGCATATCGGATTTCACACAGCCTCACGACTTCACACAGTCTCACGACTTCACGCTCTCTAGGTTGCTCATTCTTCTCGATTTTTTCACCACATTCTTTCAATTCAAGGTATGACTATACGATTCTTTTTAATCTTGCTATGAAATCTGTTTTTGAATTCCTGTTCAAGAATTCTATTTTTGAATTATATATGAATCACTTCTTTATACATGTTTGAATCTTGCTATGTTGAAATCCATTCTTGGTGTAACATCCCAAAAATCGTGATCAAAAATTTCTTTTAAAACATTACTAATCCACAGCATTAAGTCATTCAAACATACAAAAAAAGGTTATATGACAAATCAGAGTATCTTTTCTAAAACACTTATTCATTTTATCAGAATAAACATCCCAGACTAACTTCTTGGTGTGTGCCATGCGATCATCCCGAGCTCTTCATTCCGCTATCGGAAATACCTGAAACCAAAACTAAAAACCGTAAGCACGGAGCTTAGTGAGTTCCCCAACCTACCACATACCATACATATCTACTGATCCATACATGCCATACATAATTCTGAGCACATAACCACATATTGGGCCCGCGCCCGCTGCATTGGGCCTCGCCCGCTATCGGACCCCGTCCGTCATCAGGCCCTGCCTGGCATCAGGTCCCACCTAGCATCGAGCCCCGCCCGGTATACAAATCTGTTTCCTTTAGGCCCCGCCTGTCTCTGGGCCTCGCCCGCCTTACACATACATACGATTAAATAATATACTAAAACATACATAAGCATTCCCTAACCATTCCTTGCTCTAAGGCCTCGTCTAACTTGGGCCCCGCCCCTAGTCTGCTACTGAAGTAGTGGAACCCCGTCCACACCCCTACTGGTAGTGAGTTACGGGCCCTCGCCCACACTCACATCCTTCCTATCATGGGCCTCGACCCTGCTCTGCTAATATCAAGATATGGAACCCCATCCATACTCCGCTTGTGATGAAATACGGGACCTCGCCCACACTCACCTCCCTACTAGGCACATACAAGTATCACGAAGACAACAAGTATAATCTAACGCACTACACAAGAATCTTCCTCGGGAATACCCCGACATCGGACCCCCGGCCCGGAAACATACTATTATCTAACGTACTTCGGGATTACCCCGACATCGGACCCTCAGTCCGGATCTTGTTATACCGACACATGCAAGAATCACAAAGACCTCTAGCATCCTAACATTCCTCGGGCCTCGCCCGGCATTAGGTCGTAACCCGAAACACATATCAGTAAGTGCCTAGGGCTAACCCCTGGGTCTTCCTTCTACACATAAGCATAAACATGAACATGAACATAATGGGCCAGCATTGTAGCCGTAGACCCATGCACACAGTGAGGAGAGTCACCTCGCACTGCTGAAAACTCGCTGAACACTTCTGACTGCTAACTGGCAACTTCTGAACCGCTGACCCTTTGGCTTCCCGAACTATCAATACCCAAAATAACATTTAGACCACAATAAACCAAAAGTCAACCCTGGTCAAACTTGGTTAAAGTCAACGTCCAGTTGACCTGACTCGCCGAGTTGGTCTACCCACTCGTCGAGTCCATACTCCTCCAATCCCAAAACAACCCCGACT